CTTCTCATTCAAACAATATATTATATCGTAGTAATATTATCCATTTATTAATGATTTAGGAATGTTTCAATCATCAATAATGAAAAGCGATCGATTGAAAAAGGAATTTATGGGGTATTACCTTACGTGCTATAACTGCTATATGTAGTTATCAGTATACAATGGTTGCAGACATTTATTCATTTGGAATAATAATAAATAAATATATGTCGATTATTAAATGTTGGGGTGCTAAAGTAGAGAATAGATCAACTTCTAAAGAAATATAACAAATTTTTAAAAAAAACTGAAAGATAATTTTGGTAAATTTTATGCTCAAATAAAGGATGTTGAAAAAATTAAGACAAATAAATTAAAGAACCAGTCAAATGAAAATGAAATATTTGAAGTCTAACACATCCACAAGCCATTTATACAACCAGACTTTTAAATTTCAAAAATATTTCAGAACCAGTGAATTTAACTAAATTATATTTACTTCAACACAAATCAGGTGAATTTATTATTATTAATATTTTATATAAAAAAATATTTTACATTAAAGATATTTATTGACAATTTATTATTAATAGATGTAAAAGAAACTATTCCATCAACATCGATAAATTCAAGTAAGTTATTTAATCAATTGTTCAATACAATATTTTTTTTATTGTTTTTTTTTCCTTATAGCTTCTAAATGTTTGGGCTGCGAAATTTAATTAATTAAATGGTAAATTTTATTTTATATAATTTATTATTTTGTATATGCATGATTATGATTGAAATGGTTTTGAATAATAAATCTTATACATATCAAATAATTAAACATTTTATTCTAATTTATATATAAATCCGTCAGTATTTAGTTAAAATTTTACGTAAAAAAATCACTCTAGTCACCGAATAAATCATTTTATAAATAATAATAGTAATTTTATCTCAGGAAATTGCTCTGATCGCATGGAATAATACTCGTATAATTAGCTCTTAATTTTTACCGGTATTATGAATAAAGGTTTAAAAATGAATAGAGTATGTCTGACACGATCTGCTAATTTTCAATTAAATATATAATAATCATACGTTATCGTTATATAAATCTAAACCAAATATACTTGGAAGGTAACAATTTCTTTCTGCTGATCTTGTCAAAGGTAGCAATTGCGAGACCAGACCGATCCAAGCTGATTGTTTGGAATGCTCTGTTCGGAATCGATTCGCAAAACTAAACAAACCGCCTATCCGACTATCCCTAATTTGAAACAATCTACAACAATCTAATACTAATCGGAAATTGTTTATCATGTCACAAAATTTCATTTAAATATTTAAATAAAGAGAAAAAATTTTTTATTATTCTATCGCCTTTTTTAATTGATATTGACCGATTGACGTTATAATGGCTGATAGATTTTTGTCAAAATTATCGCAAAATTTCCTTGAAATTTTAGATGACGACGAATATTATGACATTACAATTGAAGTTGGTAATGACCCTCACGTAAAAGTTTTTCGTGCCCATATGGTTATTTTAAATTATCGTTCTTCATACTTGAGAAGAATTTTGTCAACAAATAAAAAGAAAAATGATGAAACTTTATTATATATTAAATTACCAAACATTTTACCTGAAATTTTTCAAATAATTTTAAGGTATTAGAATCTAATTTCTATATATATAAGATATATTTTGTAAAATTATTTTTAATTTTTTTGAGAATTTATTTTTAGATATATTTACGGTGGAAAAATTTCTTTGATAGAATATGATACTTTGGATATTATTAAAATTTTGGTCGCTGCTAATGAACTAAGTCTCCAGGAATTAATCCCTTATTTACAATCATTTTTGATTGAAAATAAAGAAAATTGGATAGAACAAAATTTTAATCTAATATACCAGACGAGTTTCGAAAATGATTCTTTCTTGGATCTCCAAAAGTTTTGCACAGAATTAATATCTAAACAACCAGAAAAAATTTTTAATTCACCTGATTTCACTTCAATTTCAGAAAAAGCTTTAATCTCTCTTATTCAGCATGATAAAATTAAAATGAGTGAAGTTCAAATTTGGGAACATGTACTTAAATGGGGTATTGCAAAAAATCCTGGACTTTCGTCAGATCCTTCAAGTTATTCAAATGATGATTTTAATGTTTTAAAAAATGCTTTACAACAATTTATTCCTTTAATTAAATTTACTGAATTTACTTCTAAAGAATTCCTGAATGAGGTGTATCCGTATAAAAAGATTATTCCTGATGAGATGTGTGAAAATTTAGTCAAATATTTTTTGGATCATGATTATGTACCAAGGAAAAGGTCAGAGCAACAAACAATCAGAGAAACTAAAATAATTAGTCTAAAAAACATAGTCTCAAAAATCATTACAATTCAACATGCTGAATTGATCTCAAAATGGATTGATAGATTAGAGATTACAGATGAATTGAAAAATTCATATGAATTCAAATTAATTCTTCGTGGATCTCGCGATGGATTTACGCCTCGAAAATTTCATGAAATTTGTGATAATAAATCTCATACTATATCAATTATTAAAGTGAAAGATACTAATGAAATTTTTGGAGGATATAATCCGATTATGTGGGAATCTAGAACTTACATTCCAGGATCTGATGGTGAATATAGTAAAACTAAAGATAGTTTCATATTTTCTTTTAACAATAAGAAAGATATTAAAAATCATATATTGAGCCGGGTGGAGGAAGAAAAATACGCTATAGATAATGATTGTTCATGTGGACCATCATTTGGTCGTAATGACCTTAAAATTGGTGGAAACTCTTTTAATAAGCATTTTAGTTATTGCAAAAGATCATCTTATGAAAAGCCGATAAGAAAAACTGGTAATTATTTTGCGATAGAAGAATATGAAGTTTTTCAGATTATAAAAGATACTAATGAGGTATTTAACTATTTTTTGAAAATTTTTATTTATAGTATTATTAAGTAATAAAATTTTGTATTAATTTGTTTTATAAATTAGCATGTTTATAGATGAAAACCGGAGAATTCGTTATATCGAGAGCTGACTTTATATTAATACAGTAATAATTTATTGGTAATAATTTTATTAATATGATACATTTTATCCATGGAAATAAATTTTTTGTTTAGTACCAAGAATGTATTTTCCATAAATTTTATCATACTCACAGAGATTATGTTTTTGGCTTACTTATAAAAACAACGTACGGATTTATCAATAAAATGAATAGATATATAATTTGATTATCAAATATATTAAATAAATATATACAGTAAACTGAGAAACCTCTTGTTAGTTTTAAAAAAATTTTGTCCATTTTTCCTTCTTCACTTAATCAATTTTTTATATTCTTTTTTATTCATTAATTCTTGGAAAGTGAATACGCCTTAAACTCGCTTTGATCGTGAACCAACATTTCGAACCGAATCATAACCTAAAATAAAAAAATAAAATAAGAAAAAAGGAAAAGTGAAAGAAAAAGTGAGAAAACAAAAGAAAAAAGAAACAAAGGAAGGAGAAAAAAGAAATGGAAATAATAAAAATGCCCACTACCGTTCAGCAGCAAATCTTATGCCAGATAAAAAGTGGGTTTGCTTTTTGACATGACTTGTTTGGAAATCCCAAAAAAAGATTTTGACGAAAATTGGCGGCTGTTAGTTTTGAATATCTGGACACAATAGAATTTGTATGGAAGATGAAAAGATAAAATAAAAAAAAATAAAAAGTGAATAGACGAATAAAAAATTAAAAGAAACAAAAACAAAATAAAAGGTATTGAACTCACCCGATCATAAACCGCTGCCTCAAATAAAATTGTATCGTAAAAATACTAAGAGGATAATAGAAATTCATTTGTCTGGCTGAATATTAAGGACGGATTGCCAAAAATTCGTGAAATAATCGAATATGACAAAGAGATTAAATGAAAGATAAATTATTATTTTTAAAAGGAACTATTAATGAACTTGTGAAAATGAATTCAATTTAGTTTATAGGATAAAATAAGAATAGAAAATAAAAGGAGAATAAGAAGACAAAGAATAAATAAAAAAAATAAAACAAATAAACAAAATAAAAGAAAAAATCAAAGAAAGTCTAGAACACTCTGAAAAGGAAGACGAAAAATTAATATAAAAAAAGCAAGACGTTTAACTCACCAAAGAAATAAAATAAGAAAAAAAAATAAAATATGAACGAAACAAATTGTGAAATGAAAATGAAAGAAAAGACAAGAACTTACTTTTACTGTTACTAGACTCTTCAAAAACGAACCGTAGACTATAAATTAATACAATTTAACTATTTCTAACCTATAAGAAAAAAGATAAATCGGTAATTTGAATAAATGCTTCTTACTATTATTAAAATTCCTTAGCCAAAAACCCAAACTGAGAGAATATCATAATGACTAAAAAAAAATAAGAAAAAGAAAATTAATAATAAATATAGACTGAAAACACTATTAAATTTAACAAATATAGTTTAAAAAAGTTGTACTGTATATACAAGAATAAATTGGTAATTAATAAGAATAAACGTATACACTTTTTTAAAAAACAAATTCGATTTTTTGTATTTTACACAAAATCTTTCTGAATAACTGACATTACAAGCTTAGAAAATCTTTTTCTTCTCGTAAAATATTTTTGTTTCCGAAACCATATTTTCTTTCTTATTTTTAAAAGGATCTTAAAAAAGCGCGTTTTTTAGGGTAATTTCCTGTAAATGCAGAAAAAAAAAAAAAATTGCGAAAAAAAGAAATTTATTTTGTAAAACTAGTAGGCCACATGATGATTTACCAAATTACTTAATCAGTGTGGGCGTAGTATATTAAAATTGATGTTTAATCGCAAAATAAAGTAACTCAATTACGGTTACACAAATTTCGTTAAATATAAATTTATTGATTTTCAACTTTGTGTACCGTCATTCTGGATCGCCCTAGTTGCACAACTGCCACACCGTGCCTTTTATAAAAGGTGTCGGTGTACAGACTACAAACTTTATTCTTGATTCTTTCCATAATGGCCGATAATAAATTTTTATCAAAATTGACTCAAAATTTACTCGAAATTTTAGACGATGAAGAATATTATGACATTACAATTGAAGTTGGTAAAGACCCTCACGTAAAAATTTTTCGCGCTCATATGGTTATATTAAATTATCGTTCGTCTTATTTGAGAAGAATTTTATCAACTAATAAAAGGAAAAACGATGGAACTTTAGCACACATTAAATTGCCAAATATTTCACCTGAAACATTTCAAATAATTTTAAGGTATTAAATTAATTTCTATAGTTAAGTTATTGTTCTATAAAATTTTTTTTTTTTTTATTGATTGTTTTTTTTATTTAGGTATATTTATAGCGGAAGACTTTCTCTTGTAAATTATGATATTTTAGATATCATTAAAATCTTGGTTGCTGCTAGTGAACTTAATCTTCAAGAGTTAATTCCTTATTTACAATTGTTTTTGATTAAAAATGAAACAAAATGGGTGGAGAAAAATTTTGCCTTTATATATAAAACGAGCTTCAAAAATGATTCTTTCTTGGAGCTCCAAAAATTTTGCACAGAATTAATATCTAAACAACCAGAAAAAATTTTCAATTCTTCTGATTTTACTTCGATTCCAGAAAAGGCTTTAATCTCTCTTATTCAACATAATGGTAATCAAATAAGTGAAGTTCAAGTTTGGGAACATGTTCTTAAATGGGGTATTGCTCAGAATCCTGAAATTTCTTCGGATCCTTCAAGTTATTCAAATGATGACTTTAACGCTTTAAAAAATACTTTACGACAAATTATTCCTTTAATTAAATTTACTGAATTTACTTCTAAAGAATTTCTGAATAAGGTATATCCGTATAAAAAGATTATTCCTGACGAGTTAAATGAAGATTTAGTAAAATCTTTTTTGGATAATGACTATAAACCGAATAAAAAATCTGAACCACAGATAATCAAAAAAGAAGTTAAGCCTAACAATATTGATTCAAAAATTATTACGCGTCAACATGCTGAATTAATCTCAAAATGGATTGATAGGCTAGGTATTGCAGATGAATTGAAAAATTCATATGAGTTCAAATTAATTCTTCGTGGATCTCGTGATGGATTTACGCCTGAAAAATTTCATGAAATTTGCGATAATAAATCTCATACTATAACAATTATTAAAGTGAAAGATAGTAATGAAATTCTTGGAGGATATAATCCGATTGAATGGAAATCTGATAGTAGTTATGGGATTACTAAAGATAGTTTTATATTTTCTTTTAAAAATAATGATAATTATATTTTAAGTCGCGTGAAAGATGAAAAACATGCTATAAATAATTATTGGAATTATGGACCATCATTTGGCGATGGGGACATCAATATAGTAGTGTATAGTAATAATGTTGTGAAAAAAATTAATAAGTTAATAAATACGTTTCAAGGTTCACCTTCGACGGACAACACCGACAGAAAATTTAACTATTGTTATTGTAGTAATGCTAATTACGAAATTCCAATCAGGAAAACTGATGGTGAATATACTATAGAAGAATACGAAATATTTCAAATTGCAAAAGATATTTAAAAATTTTTCAGTAATTAAATAGTTTACATTAAATAGCTCTAAATGAATGATTTTATTTTCAAATTAAATTGTATTATTTATCATTATTAACTTAGCCAATTAGAAAAAATTTGTCTCAATTTTATCACCTTTCCACCGAAGTTCTATTATGTGATTTTATCAGTATTAACAATATTATGTCGGGTAATAAATAAATATTCAGATTATGGAATATTTTATAATCTAACATTTAATTGTTTAGTATGAAATAATTATTACAAACTTCTTCAGCCAAGTTTTACCTTTTAAGCATAGCAAATTGATAAAATGAATAATAAATAATAAATAATGAATTTTATTTACTAAATTTATCAACAACGTTTAAGAATTTATTATAAAAGACGGATTTGTTAGTTACTTTAACGTAAAAGTATATTGCGTATTTATATAATTATTGAGGTGACAAATTATCCCTCGATTCATTAGACTTGGATAAAATATGCAAATAATAAATGGCTGGCATAAATTGAGTATTTGAACAATAAATTCTTTATTTATACTTTTAAAGTTTAAGCGTTATTTATTTAAAGTTTTCAATAAAAAAAATGCAGAATTTTTTTTTTTTTTTATAAAGAGAATGAATATCAGGACAATTATCAATACCGTAAAGTTATCAACTGATTAATTTTATAAGTTAAAGTTTTGCAGTAAAGATTAATAAGTTTTTTCTTGTTCTTTATGTATTTTATTAGCATAAAAAATGGTCCAAAATAACTTATTCATTCGCTACAGTTGATAACAATAATACAGTAAACATCTTTTCTACAATGAATGCTTCAAATAATTAAATTTTATCTGGTATTTTGAAATGATGAGAATCTTTTTAAATCTACCCTGTTAAGGCTTAATATCTCATAAATAAACAGCTCCTACATTATCTTAATAAGATTTTTCATATCATGTTCATTCCATCATTACGCAAGTAAGGGCACAATTCCTAATACACTTACTAACCACCTTTTGTAAAATATAAACTCCGGTTATTATTAGGTCTAACGTTGCAAAGTTTATATTATCATCAAATTAAAATTTATGTAATATAAATTATTCTTTACATAATTTTACATAAATAATAACCAATATTAGTCCACTTTTTATAATTATTTTTCGAAATTAAACTTTTTAATAAGTTTATGTTAGAAGACCCAAAAATAAAATCTTACGATAGAAATATTAATACAGCTACAATAGAAGATAATTATGTGAAAATTTTTCAGGTAAAATAAAAATTATTATTATTATAATAAATAATTAAGTTTAAACAAAAATTCGACCAATTATTGTTAAAGTACCAAATCAGAAAATTCTGCTAGATTAGTAGCTTTTATGGATGTTTTAGGAAAAAAAGAAGTATATGGAATATGTATAGAATCCTAAGATCTAATAATTCGGGTATTAGGTTAAAACTTATATTTCAGATCATTTTTCATTTATTATCAAAAAATTTAGAAGTATATAACTTAAAATTTAATGTTACGGACTACCAAATAGTACTAGAGATTATGATTTTAAAGTTTGGAGATTTGAGAGATTGTTTAAAATAATCCTTGGTTTATCAATCAAAACTTATAAGTTTAGTGAAAATTGTCAATGGGCTTCTAAATATGAAAATTCCAACATTACTGTATCTTCGTTCAGGAAACGTATTATTCCATGGTCGTACCTATCCGTTTATTAATGATTTAGGAATGTGTCAATTAGCAAATAATGAAACTGAAAGAGATCGATTGAAAAAGACGTTTATGGAGTATTACCTTAAATGTCTCTAGATGTTTTACGTGATTGCAGATATTATTTATTCGTTTGGAATAATAATAAATGAATATGTCAAAAGAAATTCTTTATTATAACATTCCCCATGACCTTACTTTAGCCATTAAAATATGTAGAAGACTAAGACCAAAATTTCTGAAGACACACCAAATTTGGTTGCTAATTTGATTAATAAAGTAGAGAATAAATTAACTTCTAAAGAAATATATCGAATATTAAAAAAATTGGAAAATGATATATATATAATTATTCTTGGTAAAATTTATGCTCTAATAAAGAATTTGAAAAATTAGAGCAATGAACTAATGAACTGATAAAATGAAAATGAAAATAATTCGAAATCTACGTATCCATAAGCCATTTATACAACAAGACTTTTAAATCTTCCGGAACTAGTTAATTTAACTGATTTATCCTTATTTCAATACAAATCAGGTGAATTTATTATTATTAATATTTTATAGAAAAAAAAAAGTATTTAATACATTAAAAGTATTTATTAACAGTTTATTATAATAGATGTAAAAGAGATCAACGTCAGTAACTCCAATAAGTGCCTAATTTTGTTAAATATATTATGATCACAATACTCTTTTAATTATAGCTTCTGAATGTTTGCACTGCGAAAAATTAATTATTATATTTTATATAATTTATTTATCTTTTATTGAATAGTTTTGAATAATACAAAAGATCTATTTTCTACACATCAAATAATTAAAATAAAAATAATGAAATTATCAAATAACATTTTATTTCAAATTTATCAGTATTCATCGCAAAATTTTACATAGAAAAATCATTCTAGTCACCAAGTACAGTTCACGAATTTTTTATATAGTGAATAACTTGCTATAATGAAAAAAAGTTCAGGTACAGATTTTTTTATATATATAATAAAATAACCCTTAGTATAGTGAATTTCTCACTATAATAAATTTTAATCTCCAGCCAACGGGATTCACCATAGTGAGGTTGAACTGTAAATGACTTTATGAGCAATGATAGGTTTATCTCAGGAAATTGCGCCAATCACACGAATAATGTCCTTTTGTTGAACACTATAGCCGCTCGCTTAATTAGCGCTTAATTTTTTACCGGTATTTGTGCTTTTTTGTGCTAATCATGTTGTTTACATCATGAATAAAAGTTTAAAAATAAGAGTTAATAGTTCACACACTAGTAAACTAAAAGTCTAATGGTAGAGTTATGTCTGACACGAACTGCTGTTAATTTTTAATTAAAAAATAAATAGTACTTTACTGCGTCATACGCTATCGTTACATAAATCTCAAATATACTTTGAAAGGAACTGACTGGTCAAAGCCATTTTGTAGAACCGGACCGATCCGAGCCGATTATTCGGAATGCTCTGCTCGGAATCGATTCGCAAAACTAAACGAACCCGCCTATCCGGCTATCCCTAATTTGAAACGATCTACAACAATCTATTACAAATCGGAAATTGTTTATCATGTCACAAAATTTGTTTTAAATAATGAGAAAAAATTTTTTATTATATTATCGACCTTTTTTCATTTTTTCATTAACATTATAATGACTGATAAATTTTTGTCAAAATTATCGCAAAATTTTCTCGAAATTTTAGATGACGATGAATATTATGACATTACAATTGAAGTTGGTAATGACCCTCACGTAAAAGTTTTTCGTGCCCATATGGTTATTTTAAATTATCGTTCTTCATACTTGAGAAGAATTTTGTCAACAAATAAAAAGAAAAATGATGAAACTTTATTATATATTAAATTACCAAACATTTTACCTGAAATTTTTCAAATAATTTTAAGGTATTAATCTAATTGCTATAAGATATATTTTGTAAAATTATTTTTAATTTTTTGAGAATTTTATTTCTAGATATATTTACGGTGGAAAAATTTCTTTGGTAGAATATGATACTTTGGATATCATTAAAATTTTGGTCGCTGCTAATGAACTAAGTCTCCAGGAATTAGTCCCCCATTTACAATCATTTTTGATTGAAAATAAAGAAAATTGGATAGAACAAAATTTTAATCTAATATATCAAACGAGTTTCGGAAATGATTCTTTCTTGGATCTCCAAAAGTTTTGCACAGAATTAATATCTAAACAACCAGAAAAAATTTTTAATTCTTCTAGTTTCACTTCAATTTCAGAAAAAGTATTAATCTCTCTTATTCAACTTGATAAAG